ACACTCTTTCCCTCACGACGCTCTTCCGATCTCCCCAAAACCCCAAAACCCCATTATACAAATTTAAGAAATTAAGTGATTAAATTAAAAACTTAATAATATTAATAAAATATGTCAAATTAGGATAAAACAAAGAAAAAGGAAATGATCGAAATGAGCATAGAGGATCTGCTAGGTGAATCAGATTCGGACGACTCAGATGATGATGAATTAACTGGTGACCCTGAGCTTGAAAAGTTTAAATAAAAAGCAGGAATTGCTAAGTACTCAAACTAGTCGCAATCACAGACAAATCCTTTGCAAAGCGATATTAGCAGTAGATTACTCTCTGATAATTCACCCAAAGTTGACCTACCAAAATCATAATCGTATGCTCTAAAGGCAACCCTTCCCAAACCTTAGACATAAATGACACAGGAAGAAAAAATCAAGGCAGCTCTTGAACTTGAACTCTCTTCTAACAGCAGTAGTGATGATGAACTAGACAAAATACTCCAATAGACCTCGTCTAAATAAATGAAACAAACTGCAAATACTACTTCCAAAAATGATGTTGCTAGTTCTTACATATCAAGTAAAAGTGGATCAAATAAGAATAGTGGGATAGCTACTTTAGATAGTGATGAAGCCGGATTTACTGATATCAATAAGTATATGCAGAATATTTCTACAATGGATATACTTGACATTATTGAGAAGAATGAACGAATGAATGAAGTAGGACCTGAGAAGGAAAACGAGCCTGCAAATTAATTACTTTCATTTGACAAGAAGTTCTACAATGTTCAGAAAAAATTGTTCACCTATTAAGAATACCAGGATATAGGCAAAAAGCTACACTAGTAGAAGAATCACTAATTTGGTGGGATAGTCTCTGCAATATCAGTAATTTAAAATCATGGTTGCTTAATTATTGTAGGTAATTTAGGATTACATATTTGTGGGTAATTCATCGGGAATCATAAGAGTATTTGACATGAAATCCTAGAGAGAGATGAAGCCACTTATGGATGAAGGGACCATTGGGTCTAATAAGGTCACCAGCATTGACATTTCAGATGATGGGGGATTTCTGATAAGTGGATATAAAAAGGGTTAACTAGCTCTGTGGGATTTAGTCAATTACAAATTACTCAAGTATATCAATGATATCCACTTGACTGATGTGATTAATGCAAAGATATATCATATTGATGAGAGTGAAAATCTATATGCAGTATCATCAGAAGATTCAGGTAGAGTGTAGCTCATTAGATACAATAAAAAGAGTTTCCTAGGAGGTTACTCCTCTGAGGCTTAATTCTTATTTAAGACAAGACTAAAGGGTAGTGCAACAATAGCTGTGCAGAAAAAGTAAATTTAATCTCATCTTTATTTAAGCTTTATTGCTAGTTAGAAATCCGTTATACCCTCATAATTACTGTGATAATAGCTCAATAGTTGCCTTTGGTTCTTTGAATGAAATAGTAGTCTGTTCTATGAGACCTATAAAGGAAATCTTTTAAATCAATAGGCCAAGTTTTTGTAAAGAAAAATCTATTCCTTATATTGATTGGGGATTTGGACTTACACCTTCACATCGTGAGAAAACTGTGCCCATTTTGGCATTTGCTTGGGATAGACTGATCTAACTTGTTTACATCAATGAGGAAACTTCAACAGTTGAAATGGATGGATTTTATTATTCTGATCAAGAGATCAATAGCTTATTCTTTATGGGAGACTCAATTCTATTTGTTCTAATCAATGGAAGAGAAATCAAAGTGCTTTATACAACTAAGTTTTACCCAGGGCATTTCAAATTCTTAGAAAATGCTAAGAAAGATGATTTGCTTAACAATCAATTTGAGAAAGTGATATCTGTGACATCTCATGCAGAACTTGAAAAAGGATTTGAGTAGTCTGACATTAAGTCCAATCTTTTGCAAGCTTAGATGGTCATGAATTACAATTAAAGCGTAAAGAGGTATAAAAACTCAATATTCTTTATGTGTGGAAAGACCATCATCAGAGGCAAGTTGTTCACGTGGAAGGAATATCTAGATCATATAAAGTTCAAGGAGAACTTTGAGTGGCTGACAGTCCTTAAAGTTGCCTTAGAGATATATAATGGAGAATCGAAAGGATTCGGCAAAGTCCCTGATGAGAAGGAGATTAGAGAGGGAATCCTGAAAGGGTTTATGAAAGATATGATAAAGGAAAGTGTTCAGCAGGTTATTTATAAATATACTAATAACAATACATTGATGGCCTCAGTAAAAGACACCACTTAGACTCAAAGATCATCTGATACTTACTAAGCTGACTCCATTGCAATTAAGGTAGCAGTAGAATTCTGTTTGTCAATCAATGCTACATTTTTCCTATTCAGTGATATCTACCAAATCTTTTAAGAGTAAGGTCTAGAAAACAAATTCATAGCAAATCTTGAGCCATTCATTCTATCTGGCTAATTTAAGAAAGAAATCATACCTGAACATATTATCCATAGAATAATTGGCTTCTACGAGGACAAAAAGAACTTTAAAATACTTGAAAAGGTTGTTCAATAGATGGATCTTTCGGACTACTCTTAAAAGCCTGATTTGATTATCATTTGTGAAGTCAATTGCCTAATCAGTGCTTTACTGTACTTAATGTCTTCTCAAGGGGAAGAGGTAAGAATATCTAGCAAAATAAATAATTTCTTAACCAATTTGATTTTTAGAGTCTTGGATGCATGTAAATCTTGAACAAGATGTTGAAGGTGATGACTGATGCAAAGAACATTGAAATAGTCAAGGAAGATATTGCAATGATCTAGAAATACGAGTCAACAAGAAAGTACGAGATTGAAAAATCCAGAACATATATCGGGTTCAAACTTTATTGGATTTTGAAGCTTTTCATTGACGGTAGAATGTACCCTACAGGATATCTATCCAATGATAAGCATAGAATTCACGTTTATGACATTATGAACTTTATCACTAACGATTATGTTTTGGATGAACTCCTACAATTCGATAGTGAACAGTTCTTTAAGGTAGTGACTAAGCTATTTTATGGAATTCCATATAAGTTTCTGTCTGAGTAAAAGGACTATCTAATCTAAAATAATATAAAAGGCACCTAAATGAGTATGTCGCTTAGCACTGTAATCAACGTCTTATTCCTCAAGAAATGTGATAAGAACGAAATAAGACTTGAAAACTTCTATAGGTTCTTAATTGCTGTCTAATCATAGCATGAGTACTAGAAGCCAGAAAGCAATCCATATCTTGCCATTGATAAAGATCTATTGTTAAAAGCTATACTTGCCTAGATTAACAAAAGAGATCAACAAACTATTGATGAGTAGACACTTATAAAAGCCATATAGAACAAAAAGTTCAAGAATGATGATATTGAAAAAATGATTCAGCCATTAGAGTTGCAAATAAGAGCATTGCCTTCACTGAGAATATTTTTAGTTGAAAGGAAAAAGGATTATGTGCAGTCATTTAGGCTCAATATGGCAAACACTCAATTGAGGAAACAAATATTCGAATGGATCAATAAGATGATGAGTAAGCTGTCAAGTGATGGCTCAAATATAACACCGTTTAATTAACTTAAAGATGCAGTGTAAAAGAGTATTAGAGAATTGATAGCTATAAATGATTCAGAGTGTGTAGCCCTACTGGATAGATGGTTTGAGGACTCTTACTAAGAGCAACTAATATTGGAGGAATTAGCTGATTACCCTGAGATATAGTTCAATTACTTAAAGAGGTTCTTAGGTTAAAATGAGGAGAAAATAAGAAATACTATTTAAGAGGCAGCATATACCACTGATCGTAAAGCTGAGGCCTCTAGATATATGGAGTACCTGGTCCTGCATACTAAGCTTCTTTGCAAATATTAGAGAGATTCAGTACATGAATAAGTCAAGAAGGATTATTACCCTATCTCGGAATGCCTTGAAATTTGCAAATAAGAGAAGATTCCAAGAGCCATAGCAGAACTACTCAAGAGAAATGGAAATTTCCTGCAAAGTCTACAGACCTATCTAGATATTATTGAATCTCTCGATAGACAAGAGATGATCAATGAGTTGTATTAGAATTCCAAGCTTCAAGCCAATAACAAATCCTCAGCAATTCAGAGGAATAATCTAGAATACTTGAACTGTTTGAAGTTGCCAACAATACATGAATTCGATACACTGCTGGACAAAGCAGTCAAAATATCAGAGAAGCAGTAATCTATCGTAGGTGAGGAAGGCTGGTTCACCATTCTTGAATTTCTCTCTAAGTATCGATCCGACATTATGCAAAAGATTTACCCTCAGACTATAACAGGAGGAGGTGGCTATTAAAATTTAAAAACTAAGGAGAAGAATAAGCTTGATAATCTGAAGGAATTCGTATTCTAAAGGAAGAATCTTATTCTGAGGCTTGTACCTACGAGCATCTCTCTGTAGTCACTGACTGAAAGACTGAACTTAGATTTCAAATAGATCAAAGACTTGTATGATTTTAAGGTTAAAGCAGTAAGGAACAATGAAAAGTATCTTAAACTTGCTAAAAATATGCAATAGAAGGAACTGATTTCATTATAAGAGTAGTTATACCAATAAATTGTAAGTATTTTCATTAATTGATGTTTTTGTAGCATCGAGGATCTTAGTTAGAGGATGATGAAAAATGCCAAGTGTGCAGCTTGCCACTTTAGCTTTAAGTGCAAAAGGTTCCTCTTAGAATCTTTCGTTGCTCTCATAACTACCACCTAAACTGTTTAAAGGAGGTCAAATGTCCTCTATGTGTTAAGCAATCACTTGAAATTGAGTCGAAGGAGCAGTTAAGGAAAAACAGAACAGGCAAGGGAGGAAATAAAGAGAACAATAAAGAGGAATAGAAGGAGAGAAATATGGCTTTTATTTAGGCATAGGCTGAAGCTGCCTTCAACAGTAATTCTTCTGACAAAGGTGGCAATAATATAGCAGGTTCTGCTGGCAGTAGTTTATTCATAAAGAGATTGGAAGTATTCGATCAGTTAAATGAGAATTTAGGTTTAAGCATGTCTAGTTTTGCCTGAATTATCTTCGTTCTTATCACATAATATCTAAGTTATTTCCATTTGTCTCAATTCACATGATATAGCATTTGGGGTTTTGGGGTTTTGGGGTTTTGGGGAGATCGG